TATTTACCCCAGTGGTTAAATCAGTCATGGAAACAAAACATCACAAAAGGTACTACAAGAAAATAATAGAGAAAAAGACAAACTTACAACAAAGATAACTGCAAAGAGAAGATTCTCACCAGTGAAACTGAGAATGAATGAACAAAGTGTGGTGTAGAATATCTGGTTATGTATCTCCATATTATAACCTTTAAATAGTTTGTCTTGGAACGTGCTCGTAAAGCCATCAAACCTGTTAACCAGTTTACCAATACCTGATTTTAGGCACACGAAATAACTACCGAGGTTGCTAATTGAAAAGCTGATAACAATGAATAAATAAAATGGATATATACCCAAGATAACCAACCATAAGGGAAACACCCCAGACAGTGTTTTCTCTTCCCTTGTTGTACGGACTAATATCATCTCCTGCCTACAATTCAAATACATAAACAAAACTTCATTCCAGCTCATCTTAACGTTCATGGTATAAACTAATGGAGATCCCTTTGGGAAGATTGGACTTTTTACCGGAAAGAGAATAAAGACAAAGCACCCAAGTGTCACAAGAAAAGCCACTAAATAGTCAAATCCCTTGTACCTTTTCTGCATGATGAGAGTTCCCCAAACCTGCAAAAAATAAATACATAAATTAGAGAGTGGTGATAAACTCACATGTATAAGAATTTTCCTACTCAGAAGTTATAACATACCATTACAGGTATCATTTTGGCACATTTCGCCAGAGTTTGGACAGGGAAACTCACATACTTGAGGGCCTAGAGGCATCACAGATTTTCAAGCAAAAATTAAGAGGACTGGAATTAGTTTCATTAGTCAGATTGGAGATGGAGAACTTGTCCTACTACCTCATACTGGCATGTTGTAGTTAGGATGTTAGTTATTGATATGAGACAATATTTGTAAACCGGAGCTACAGGATCCAAAACTTTTTTGCTCGCCTACGAATACAAAAATTCAAACTTTAGGCTTCTGTGAGGGCATTGATATGCTATAACTAGAACTCAGGTTTGGTAGTTACCAGCAAAGAAGCAGCGGAAACAGCTGATGTAGTGAGCCGATTACAGAAAACTAGAAACAAAGAGTGCTTAAAATACTCCTTGTTTAACCCATATGGCACTCTCATTATCTTCTCCTGCAATCACAAAGCAAAAACCAAAACATTGAAAAGCATCAGATAAATCATTTCAGTGATGAATTTCAGAGAAAACCCAGTAGGTTTGTTCAATCGAGAGAAGAAATGTAAGACCTGGAGAAGACCATAGATGACGAGGGTAATCATAATCCCAGAGACAGAGAAAACAGCTTTCCATAACTTCTTCTCTTTCGCTTCGTTTACTGAATCAACCTCACCACCCATTTCTCCATTAACGATCCGCTTCTTCCTCGAGAGAGAGATGAACAACAAAACCCAATTACAGAACCGAACCGAAATCTAAACCAATCTTTTTTTGTCAATCAATTAAAACCACAAATCGTTAAAAGTGTGGGCCTTGGGCCCAATATGTTTATTAGAACATAACATAAAGTCGTCTTCTCTTTTTCCTGCATCCCCAACTCTTAACAATGGCACCTAAAGGTACGAAATCTTCAGATTCCTCTTGCCTCGATTTATATTTCATTTGTTGAAATTAAGCTTCGGTTGTTCGTATTAGTATTGTTAGTTTCGTGATTCATGCGAAATTTTATAGGTCTTGTTGATTTTTCCGAAAACTGATTGGAGCTTTTGATTTCTGATTATTGGATGATCAATGGCGAATTTTTTTTTGGGTTTTTCTGAAATTTTCTTTCTTGAGTTTCAAACGTAATGGTCCTTTGCTATAAAATGTAGCTTTTTAAATATCTGCATTTGTAGCTTTTAAGAGAAAAGGAAAAAAAGTTGTATGCAAATGATCTCTTAACTATCTATCTATATGTTATTGGTTATGATTGGATCTATTTGGCAAATAATAAGCCACTGCTTGTGATTCTCTGACCTTTGCAGATGGTAATTTCTTGTGGTTTTAGTAAATTATCTCTTGTCTATGGAGTCACTGAAACTTGTTCATCAGAAGCTGAACTATATACATGGTGGACTATTTTATCATCTTTGTATGATTGTCTCTTTTCGTCTTCTGCTTCTGAAGGCCATGAAGGCTGCAAAAGCGTTTAAGTCAGATGCAACATTCAAGAAGGCATCTAAGATCAAAACCAAAGTAACATTACACAAACCAAACACTTTTGACTAACCAGAGGAACCAAAATACCTATGCAGAAATAAGCTCAGCCTATTACCAAATCCTCAAGTATCCTCTCTCCCTACCGAGTCTGCGATGAAGAAGATCTAACACAACAATACCTTTGTTTCATTATCGACATCAGAGTCGACAAGAAGAAGGTTATTGATGCTGTCAAGAAGATGTAAGTCAGACATCCAGACCAAGACACTTTAACACTTTGATCATATACGATGGCTTACGTGAGGTTGGCTCTTAATTATGATGTATTGGATTCTGCAAACAAGATTGGAATCATCTTTTCATTTACATTATGATAGGTGTGGGTTAAAGTAACAAGAGTTAATTGTGAATACTTCTAAGCAACCATGGTTAAATTAGGGTATCCATTAGGCTCTATCTATATATGTTTTGGCTTGTAGTCTCATTAACTTTATCAAGGGATTAATCAAAAGTTGTTGAGAGGGAGAGAAGAGACTCCATGAACATCTCTTTAGTCTAGGTTTATCTTTTATGTTTGCATTTTCTTTGTATTTGGGATCTTTGATTAAGGAAAGTAAGAGAGTTCTTATTGATATAAGAGTTTGAGATACAAATCGTATCAACGGTGAAATTAAGCTTCCGTATTAATAGTGTTAGTTTCTTGATTCGTAGGCGAAAGTTTCCGAAAACTGAGTGGAGCTTTTGATTTCTGATTATTGAATGATCAAATGGAGAATTCTTTTCTGGTTTTGCTGATAAAGATGGCTCTTATCAGAAAAAGAATAGCTTGGCTTACAAAAACTTGTAACAGATACAACAGAAAATAATCATTCTTGGTTTTGCAATATAAAACAAATAATTGAAACAAGATCCATACTAAAAGTGTGAAAATTCACATGGACATCTTCTCATAGA